TAAGGCCCCATCTTTAGGCCTGACTTTTTCTGTCAAAGATCAGGCTCCCTTTGCAGCATTTGGTTTTCGTTCTCTCTCTCTCTCTCTCTCTCTCTCCCTCTCTCCCTCTCTTTCTCCTCCCTCCCTCCTCTCTTTTCCCTCTCAGGATTTATGAGAGCTAGAGTGATATTAAAACAAGCAGTGAGAATACTTTTCAGAAGAGGCTAAGGAAAGTGTAAGGTGACCAGACGTCCCGATTATGGCNAAGCGGTATATATAAGCCTAAGTGCTATTGCTATTTTTGCTTGATAAAAATGGAAAGTCAGCTCCAAGTTCCCAATCAAAACATTTATCAAAAAGTTTGAAATGCTAGTTGCAGCTTAAATCTACCTAAGACAAAACACCTAACTAAAACGTAACAACCCTACTAGCTAAACTCATCGGAACTTTAATCTTTTATTTGTCCTTCCTGAAGTTTCCTTGGGGCTGCCCAGCATGCTCATATCTTAACTCTTTGTATCATTTTTGAAGACAAAGCAGGTTCACAAAAGGTGAATGGGTTCCAAGAAGAAACATCCAAACTGATCAGCCAATATCTTGCTGATTCTCCCATCATAAAATGGAGTCATTGGAATATCAGCTTGAAATGTAGATTCTAATAGAATGTGGTGTAAAGAGGATTAGACATGACTGACTAGGAAATTAGCTTAACACAGTTTTCCTTAACATTGGCAACTTTAAGATGTGTGGGCTGGAAGTTGAAATCCACACATCTTAAAGTTGGCAAGGTTGAGAAACACTGGACTAACAAGTATAGTGTGGTTTCTGGATCTGTCACAGAGCCATAGAAGGCTCCAGTAGCAGGAGATAAATAGTGAGGGCTGGAAAATCCATAAATCTGGCTCTGTCACATAAATAGATCCAAGAACCCTCTGGATCTGCTGATCCATCACAGTCAGCTGGAGATATCATAATAAGATTACGGTATTTGCAATGTAGGTTCCGCGATTGTAACGTGTACTTAGGAAATAGGAGTTCCAGTTTCAGGGGTCTACCCAGGGGTGGGTTCTACTGCCGGTTCGCTTGTGGGCATGCCATGCATGGGCAGTGCAGTAAAAATTGTTCTGCGCATGCGCAGAAGCAAAAAACAAGATGGAGAACCGGTTCGGAGGGGTGGCAGGCCTGGGTCACTATACCGGTTCCAGCAATCCAGGCCACCAAACCACTACCGGTTCGGCTGAACCGATCCGAATAGGTAGGAACCCACCATTGGGTCTACCTAAAAGGCTGGTTCCAGATGAGGTTGCATTTGGTACAGAGGTGGATGCAGACTAATTACCAGCACATCAATTGTATTAATTCCTTCTTATCTTGAGTAGAGAATCACCTATATATTGCTGTTTAAAAAATGCTTGGGGAAAAAAAATACAGGCATGGAAAGCCTCAATCAAACCAGCATAGCTGGCTGGGGAATTCTGGGAGTTGAAGTCCACAGGACTTAAAGTCACCAAGGTTGAGAAACACTGGCATGGAGTCTCTTGCTTGAGCAGGGAATTGGTCTAGAGGACCTCCAAGGTCCCTTTCAATGATGTTAGTCTGTATTCTGTAATGCTTAAAGGCTTGGAGAATCTCTCTTGGCTCATGGTTAAGGGAATGGATTTGGATCAGGGCAGCAGAGCTCAAGTCCCCACATAGATTTGGAGCTCACAAGGTGACTTTAGACTTTAATCATTCCTGTAGCCTACCTTACCTTCAGGGTCATTTTGGGGAGGATAAAATTAGGGGAGACCCTCCCTAGAAGCTGCCTTGCACTCTCAAGACAGAAAAAAATAAACCCAGGATATAAACACAATCAATATAATAACAAGTTAATAAAAAGAGAAAGCCACAGCCCAGACGCTTATTTCCGATAGTCATCTAACAGCTGAGACACTTGTTGAAAGATGATGCAGAAAGAGGAAATGGGAGGATAAGATGTTTCAGTTAAGAGGAAGATCTTCCCTGGCTGCCTTCTGCTCTGGCATCATCAAGTTTCCAGTCCTGCAGACATCAGCTCCATTCCCGCGACTGTTTTGCGTCAGCATCGGTGCTGAAATATGTAATTCCATTTCGAGCGGCTCTTCCAACTCTGCAAACTTTTGGCTTGCAAGGGAAAGAGGAACAGAGAATTCCCTGTCATTTTTTTTAAAAAAAGTTTATTTTGGAGCCTGGCCAAAAGTTTGATTCTGCCGGAGGAAGTAAGGCACCAATCATTGAGTGACCTTCGAAGTTACAGTGAGACTGAAAAAAAGTGACTTATGACCAGTTTCCATGCTTATGACACTTGGAGCATCGTGAAGGTCACATGATCAAAATCCAGGCACTTGGAAACAGGCATGTGGCAGGGTCATGTGATCATCCTTTATAGCCTTCCCAGCCGGCTTCCAACAAGTCAATGGGAGAAGCCAGATTCAATAATTGCATGATTCACCCAACAGCAGCAGTGATTCGCTTAACAACGGGCTGTAAAATGGAGCATCTCTCATTTAACACTTAAAATGGGCATCTGTCTCTGTTTTGCTCTCCCACCCAATCTATATTGCCCCTTCCTAATCCGTGGAATTCTGGGCAGCAAACAAAATATAAAACCAGACTAGAATTAGTCCTTGCCAGTGGTGAAATGCTATTGGTTTGGGGCCAGTTCACCCCAACCGGTAGTAAAAAAATGGTAAAAAAAAGTTTTTAAAAAAGTTCCGCTCATCGAGCGGCTCAGCTGATTGTTGGACAGCTGATCATCATAACTTTTTTTNCCGGCGCCCCTTTTACCTCATTTTATAAGAAAAAATGACCAAGTACCATAGAGCTCCAGGATAGTGTGACCACGTAAATATTATAATTGCAACTTGGGCTTGAAGACCTGCTCAAAAAAAACTCTGATATTTTTAAACATATATCTTCACAGCTATTCTTCAACTATATTTAGCCAATATAATGATTTACAGATCTAGCTATTATTTTTGGTTTTGAATATAGGAGGTTCCGGACAATACTTCTTTTATCTACTAACCAAATTACTTCAATCCTTTTGGAAGGATTTGCTCAGATTTTACCCTGGAATAGATGACTATATGGAAAAGTTGTAGAATGGGGCAAACCTCACTTAGCAACCGCCTCACTTAGCAACAGAAAGTTTGGGCTCATTTGTGCTCATAAGTCGAGGACTACCTGTATATAACACATATTGTTAGCCTTGCATTTTTTAAAGAAGAAATATTAATTTATTGAGTTTAATTTAAATTATTTTTATGGTAGGGGGAAGAGCTAGGCTAGGAAAAGTAAAGATCATTTTCTTTTTAACTTGCTCTACCTGTGACTGATTTTTCTTGTAGATCAGGCACTCCCAGCCTACCCACCTCAACTATTTGGGACAATCCTCATTCAATACGGGCAACAATTGGGGATGAAGAAGATCTTAATATCTGCAATTATTCTCTGGTTACGGTGTTCGTTCCTTCATTTTTAGGACTAAGTTAATCCTTATTTGGTTGAACAGGACTTGCTGTGAATCCACCACCACGAGAAAAAGTACTCATTACTAAATCAGGCATGACCACAGACGACTGTCTCTATGCAGCTCTTAAAAGATGTATTCCTCCACTTCTAAGACAAAAGCTGTTGCAAAACAAATGTACTTCTAAAAACAAATGGAAGAATGCTGCTTGTGTCTGCAATTGGAACTGGAGAAGGGAACTCAAGGGAAGCTGGTGGAGACAATTGTATTTTGTTAAACAGCCCAAAATAGAACCGCTTGGGACAGACAGTGTCTGATATTTTTATCAAGTTACCAGTTTGGCAAGTTCCCACTTTGGCAATCGGAGGAATTGATACTGTGCAAACCTAAAGCCTGGGAGATTACACCAGCATTTTTCAACCTCAGTCATTTAAAGATGTATGGGCTTCAACCCCCAGAATTTGGCAGCAAGCATGCTGCCTGGGGAATTCTGGAAGTTGAAATCCACAAATCTTAAAGTTGCCAAAGTTGAAAAACACTGAACAATACTGCCCTTGGTGGCCTAGCGCCAGGTGATTTTCAGAACTGTCTGGTTCCTATAATTCTGCCTCCTTTTCCAGATCTGTCAGAACAGGCAAACTCCCAGTCCCCTCCGTCAATAAGGCCAGCAGACAGATCTTCTTTGGGTGGGTGGAACAAAAATCTAGATATCTTCCGCAACCCAACCTGTTGCCTGAGGAATTCTGGGAGTTGAAATCCACAGATTTTAATGTTGTTGTTGTTGTTCAGGTATACTGGTTTAGAGGACCAGGTGTTTCCTTTCAGTAAACCCATGGATGGGCTGCTGGGGGTTCGCAGGGGTTTGGGAGAACCTCTAGCTAAGATTCTGTGCAGTTCAGAGAACCCCCCAAATCCCACTTCTGGCTGGCCCTGCCCACTCCAAAGTCCCCACGTGGCCCATTTTGGATGCAGGTAAGTGCAGGGCACACACAGAGGCTTGGGGAGGATGAAAAACGGGCCTACCGGAAATTTGGGAAGACCAGAATGGGCTGTTTTCGCCCGGGGAACCGGGCAAAGAACCCCTTGCTAAAATTTTTGAAGCCCATCCCTGAGTAAACCCTTTGCTTTTGTTAAATATGGTGCCCTTGGAAGCAGAAAGCAGCATCAGCTATGGTGATGGTAGCCACTACAGGTAATCCTCAACTTACAACCACTTACTTGGTAATCATTCAGCTCAGTTCTGAAGTTACTTCTGAGCTGATATGATTGCATTTTTGGCACTTGACAAATGGCTTACATTTACAGCTGTTTGGGTCCCATGATCCCAATTTACAATCCCCACCCCCATGATCCCAATTTACAATCCCCCTCCCATCTTTAAGAAGAGGTTGGATAGCCATTTGTCTGAAATGGTATAGGGTTTCCTGCCTAGGCAGGGGTTGGACTAGAAGCTCTCCAAGGTCCCTTCCAACTCTGCTATTGNTGGGGACTGGAAAGATATTTGCTCTGGAGAAAAGACAAATCAGTCACATTGCATTAAATGCAGGTAAAGCAATTTTATTTGTCATTGGAAGAGAAGAGAAAAATCAAGAGTCTTTTTCAATCAGTACTAACCCCCCCCCCCCATTTGATTGCAAAATTATTAAACGCTAACTGTGGGCATTCAGAAGTCCCTGGATTTTTTAGAAAACCAAACAGCCAGCACATATGGAAGAAGAGGGCATCTTCCTGCATAACCTTCCCAGGACACGACCCGTCTCTTATTTCTGCCCAGTGCATTGCTACGGTGCCCCACACCCTACGGAGTAAGGAAGAGGAAAAGCATTCTGAAACAGAAATTTCCTGCCTCCACGCAAAAGGAAGAATATTTACTATGCCACTTCCAAAGCCGATAAGGCGTCTTTTCTCCATGTTTGTTTTTCCACTTCAACCGGAGTCTTAAACAAAACCAGTTGTTGTTTTACAGACGCCGCCAGTAGCGTACGGTGGAGTCACCCAGCTTAGCCCCTTCCTTTTTCTGCGTGTGATTCATGGTTGCATTATTCAATCCCAAAATGGCCAAAGAGGCTGTCTGGGGCTTCCCCCAGTATGTTCACAATGCGGGGAAATCTATAAATCACAACAGAATTAACAAAGAATTGGCATGAAGTTTGCGCACGCTTTTCTGGAGAGCATTTCCTTCTCTGGTTAAACAGAAAGCATCTCCCATTAGCAGATACTGTTAGCACCTCTCCTTAGAAGGGATTCCTTTCTTTAGCAAAGCCATCCTGGTAAGGATATTTTATTTCAGAATGGCAGAAATTTACACTGGGGGGTCAAACCTGGGAGGGAGCTCTGAAATCTATTGAAGAAACTTCAACATACAACAGTGGCTCTGTGTTTTCTGATCTGCCTGTGCCATCATGAGGAGGAAAAAAAGCTTTTATGAGGCATCCACAGGGGGTCAAATAAGCCAAGATGGTGGCTGTGTGGCCTCAGGATCAAAGTCCTGGGATGGCGTTTGATCAGGTTGTCTTGATTGCTTTTGACACATCCCTGGAGCCGTCTGCACGCACGCACGCACACACACACACACAATTTCTCTCCTATGTCTGGATGATTACAAGATTTCCTTGCTGAATAATATATATATTTAAAAGCCAGGCAGGATGATTTGCACAAGAAGCACGAAGCAGGTTACTCTAGAAGCTTGCGTGGTTCAGAGAACTCATGCAAACCACTATCTATTTGGGCGTCGCAGGGATGGGATTTTAGAAATAAAAAACCTGTTCCGTCAACTGAGCAGATCAGGGAGAAGAGAAATTGAAAGGATACTCGCAGATACAATTTGTTCCTATCCTTTAAATAATGATTTAAAGCAGTGTTTCTCAACCTTGGGCAACTTTAAGACGAGTGGACGTCAATTTCCAGATTTCTGGGAGTTGAAATCCACCTGTCTAAAATCTGGCAAGGTTGAGGAACACTGACTTAAAGAATTAGAAATCAAGTTAAATCAATGACATTGCAAGATATTTGATTCTTTTCAGGACCTTAGAAAAATGCCCCAATGGACAAGTTTTAAGATATAATTCAACTTCCCCATTTAAGACAAGCCAAACTCCAACTTCCTGGGTTTTACTTCAATTGGTCACACGCTCACATGTAAATATAAGTCTCCCAGGCTATCTCGATACCAATTTCCCCAAGGGATGCCTGCAGCTGTTCATGTGGGCAATCTGGAATGTTCACAGTTTTGATTGCCGTGTGAAACAAATGGGTCTCCAAGGCAGAGCTAAAAAATCTACCAGGATGTGTGAATCTGTCACAGCTAGAGACCATTGAGTGAAATTCAAGGACCTCCCCTTTCTCTAAATTACGAGTGGGGCAACTTTATCAGTCATACATAACTATCCACCCCATTGCTAGAGAACAACAGGGAATGCGGGGGGCAACATTGCTAAGTTTATGTATGTTTATATTTTCTTCATTCACATATATGTGTTCAGTTGGCCAGATGTTCAATGCTATTTTGCCGAGGCCAGTATTTCTCAGCTTTGGTGACTTTAAGATCTGTGGACTTCAAGTCCCAGAATTCAACTCTGGGAGTTGAACTCCCCAGATCTTAAAGTCACCAAGGCTGAGAAACACTGGCCAGAGAACAAAACCTGGGAGTACTGAACTGAGCAATTTTCTGTCCAATATTGGTGGTTCTTGTTTGGAGGAATACTTGGAGGGAGGGGGCACATGGATTTAGGGGCCATGGGATGCAAAGTGTTTAGCTCCAGTTATTCGATTGTTTTGGACCCATCAACATTTTTGTAGGGGAAGAAGAAGAGAAGGACGAAGGTGAAAGCAGGGCAGCTCTGGGGTGGGGTATAGGCTTAATCCGCTCGTGCGTGGCTCCACCTTCACTTCCAGATATTCTCATTCTCTCCATTCTCATGGAACTTGTGCAGGTGGTCGGCGTACCTGGAAGACACAGGTTAAAGTTTGCATCAGCACTTTTAATATATCCAGGGGTGGTATACACTTACCTTCCCTACCGGTTCGCAAATGTGAGCAAGTGTGCACGTGTGTTTGTTTTGCTCACCTGTGCCACCTCCGCACAGGCGCAGATCATTCCGCGCATGCACTTTTGGCAAAAAAAGGGCCCAAATGAGGTGCTATAGAGCCGGGCGTGGGTGGGCAGAGCCACCCATGATTTCCGCTACCGGTTCGGCCGATCGGGTCCGAACCAGTAGAATACCACCTCTGAGTATATCATGTCACTATGATTTACAGCATGTTTTCATGGATGGAAGGCAATGAATTAATCCAACTAAGTAACCCGGGGACAGGACAGTGAAAATGATGCTGAAATTGGTTCAGGGTTGCTCCCAGGAGATACACCCTGAGCTCCTATAGATCCAAAGCAGAATCCAAGGATAAAGCAGTCTTAGCTTTTGATATTTAGGCTGCGTACCCAAAAGGAGGAAACATAAAAATAAATAAATTAAACATCTTTATCTTTGGATGTATATTCATGGGTCAAGGCTGGGTAGGAAAATAGCAATAGGAATAGCACTTAGACTTACTGTATATACTGCCTCATAGTGCTTTACAGCCTTTCTCTAAGCAGTTTACAGAGTAAGCCTATTTCCCCCAACAATTTAGGTCCTCATTTTATCAGCTTCGGAAGGCCAGAAGGCCGAGTCAACCTTGAGCCCCTTCAAGATGAAGCAGCCTGTGTGGTTGGCCGACTCAGTGAGGTGCAAGATTGTGGGGAGTATAGAAAAGCAATTGGGGCAGCTGCTCTTTGCAAAGTTCCCAGTTAAAATGCTGCACCTCCTTTTTCAAAAGAGAAGGCATATTTGGGCCAAAGCAGCTCCCTTTAAAAATGCAGGCTGTGCCCAGGTTCCCATTTGCCTGGGTTGATTCTTCTGGCACCTACTTTTTAGCACAATAGGCCGAACAGTCTCTTCCCACGCTCTCGCTCCAAGCTATCTTGTAGAGAACCTGGAGAACCAAAGAAAGACAGTCCATTAATTGTTTTGTGATGACTGAGAGGTTTGTAGTGGTCTTAACTGGGTTTTTTCACTGGTTCTAATTTAAATGCTGAATTCACTGCGTCTGCATTGCCATGTTGAAGAAATATGCCCTTTGCACCCTCAGTTGTCTTCCTTGGTTGTTGCAGAGAACCTTTTCCCTTGTACTTCAGTACTCGGATTAAGAAAAATAAAGGTAAAATAATCAAGGATAAAGAAGTGGCATAGACACTTGGACAGCAGCATTTTAGAAAACGAACCAACTTGGCTATTGTAGATTGCACATCTGTCTACATTAGTTAAATATATAACTGACCTTTCCTTTGAAACACTTTCTCCTCTGCAGATAGACCTCAACTTATAATTTAATTGTAATTCGCAGTTACAATAGCACTGAAAAAACTAACTTTGTGTTTAGAATTCAGGATTAGGTGAGCAGAGCGATGGCACCTACATGGCTTAGGACCTGGATATCTACGAGACCGTCTTCTGCCACATACCTCCCAGTGTCCGATAAGATCTCACAGGATGGGCCTTCTCTGGGTGCCGTCAACTAGATAATGTCGTTTGGCGGCCCCTCGGGGGAGGGCCTTCTCTCTCTTTTTTTTTTAATAATTTTATTTTATTTTATCAATTTCATATATACATTCACAATTATATGATCTCATAACTGTTATTAATAATA